TTTAGTCCCGGTGGGTAACACCAACCGGGAGTAAAGGATCCTTTAGTCCGGGTTGGTGTCTACCTTTAGTCTCGGTTGATGTTACCAACCGGGACTAAAGGTTGAGGACTTTTAGTCCCGGTTGGTGGCTCCAACTGGGAGTAAAGGTCCACCTTTAATCTCGGTTGGTGTCTCCAACCGGGACTAAAGGTCCTCTGCCACCGTGCCGAGCGCAGTAGCCGTTGGGCAGGGACCTTTAGTCCCGGTTGGAGACACCAACCGGGACTAAAGGTCTCTCTAGTCTCGGGCGCAAAAAATGCCGGGACTAGAGCCTATTTTAACATCGGATGAAAGGTCTGTTCTCTACTAGTGCTATCTTCTGTCGCATGTCCAATGCCTGCGTCTGAAAGCCAACCACAAGAAGATTTTGATCCGCAATGGAGCCCAAGTCTTCTATATCAATTTATGACCGAGGAACGGAGTCGATCCGGCGTGTAGCATGTTATATGCCGACTTCACCGAGTACGTCCCGTCCTGAGTCCATCTCCAAATGGTCTTGTCAGGTTGGTCATTGAGCTGGAAGTCACGGAGGGTGTTCCAAAGGAATAGGTATTCGGTCATGGCATCCACGGACATTCCCCTTGTAATTGCTCGTATCCACGCCCTGTCAATGAGGCCATCTCTTACCGGCTGTCTGCGTCGGATTCGCTTGGGCACCAGTTGGTACAAGCATGGGGCGATGTCGATGACTGATTCGTCGTTGATCCATCTATCTTCCCAGAAGAGTGCTTGGCGCCCATCGCCGACGACGATGAAAGTTGAGGCTTTGAAAAAGGCGTGTACCTCATGTTAAGAATATCCAATAGGATCACATGACCATAATATCTGGTTGATTGATGGTTGATTGATATCTCCTGAAGATTGGTTGCGCGCTCAGGCTTGGATTGCAGGTGAAGGCAAGTATCACGGCTTTAGCTAGATAGGATAGGTATCTCCTGATTAATGTAATGTAGAGTTATCAAAGTAGTTAGCTTCTTCTTGTTGTACAAGTTGTACCGCCACGTCAGGAACTCTTTCTGGCTATATTAACACAAAGTCATGAGCCTAAGAGGGCATCACGTTCCCACCATTTTCACACCACAGGCGCTGCTTTGATGGGTAGTTGGCTCCAAGCTCGATGGCGATCAATCTTCTGCAGTTCTGCAGCCAAAGCCATTTGGTTTGTAGTGCATACCCAGCAAGCTTGAGGTCGCTGATTCCCAGGCCTCAAGCATCCTAGCATTCTTATCTGCCTTTACCAAGGCTTTAAGATGCATGCAATGCTGCTGCACGTCACCATTCTATCTATCGTCGTCTATCGATCCATCTGTCTTAGCCGGCGAGGCCGCCGGCGCGCGGACACAAGACGTGGCATGCATGATGCTTGTGCCCCGCTCACTCAGGGACCGGACATTCCTAGAGTTGGGCTGGTCGGGCTGGGCCTTCACGACGACTACGTCTCTCGGGCTAGCCCAGTAGGCTGATTGGGCCTCCTGACCGGTTGCCACGTGCACGGTGCACCGGTGATGTGAACCCATCAGGACATCGTCATTCTGGTGCAAGAACTCCACGGGGTCCACTTCCTATAGGACTACTCCAGGCCCAACTCCGCCCATATGTCTTTTTTTTTTATCCCGATAAACTCCGCCCATATGTCTTCGTACAGTTACTACTAAACAATTTTAGTACTTATATAAAAAAATAAAAAACAACAATTTAGAAGCTAGAAATCCCCTTTTTCTTGGAGGTTGTACTTCGGTGTAATATAATGAGCTGATGTCATTGGAGAGAAACTTTCTTAGAGATAGTACAGTTTGGTTGATTGGGCCTTGGCAACTCTCTTTCTCAGGCTAGGCCAGTTTGATGATTAGGTGTTTGGATTACCATCCACAAGGACCGGCATAATGTGCCCCCACCAGGCCATTATCAATTCTGAAATAATGGGTCCTTGTACGAAAACGTTTGTTTCTAGTCCTCTGTCCTGAAAAAACATAATATTTTAGCATTCAAAAAATGTCTACAAAAAGTTTCAAAAAAAATGTCTACAAAGACTTAATACTTTAGCTTTTGATAATAGTTTGGGCTCATACCAGCTTAAGATTGCGGTTAGCATGCCTCCATGCATTTCTTTTTACCGGAGCTTATTCCTTAATTAGCATAGTTCACCTTCAAGAAATAAAGGTATATATTTCATGGAGCATTAATCTGTTCTAAAAAATTCTAAAACATCAAGTTTTTTTAGGACAGAGGTAGTATCTCTCTAAACTATCGCAAGAGTCTAACTTTCTTTCTCGAACTTGAATGTTGGACATTATACCTTGACTATTTCTCTGTCCTGTCCTAATTAGAAGTGGTTTCAACCTTTTTAGTTAAAAATCCAGTAATCACATGATAAGATTTTTACCACGAATAATGTCTATAAACTTCTTAAAGTTCTAAGAAAAATATTAGAGATAGATTCAAATGCAAGAAACCCAAATAAAATATTTTGATCTCGTGAAAATATCTTTAGAAGCTTCAAAAAATTATATTTAGCCCAAAAAAAATAAAAAACTATTAAAAACTAGAAAATACCCAAAGCATTGTAGCGGATGTCTAAAATGCATATTTAAAACTTTACAACAGAAAAGAGATACAAGCACTATGAATGCATTCATCATCAATGTATGTTGCATTCATGCTAGTTGCATCATATATTTTCGTCATTGAAATATTCTAAAACGTGTCTAAACATCGAATGTAATGTTTTGGGTTTTTTTTATTTTTCCTAGATATATTTCTCATCTTCCTAGAGCTAAATCAAAATTATGGAAGTTTCTAGAGATATTTTCATGATAGAAATATTTTACTTGGGTTTCTCGTATTCCAATTCATCTCTATTTTTTCATTTTTCATGGTATGAAAACATCATTAGGTGTTTGTTGATTTTTTTAACAAAAACAAGGATGAAACCGCATTGAAAATCACTTCTAAACAAGATCGGAAGGTAAATTAAATAATTTTAATAAATTGAGGGGTGGTTAAAATGTCCGGTTTTAGAGTTTGAGTAGAAAAAGCTGGACTTACTCCCTCCATCCCAGAAAAAAACACAATTCTAGCTTTGAACCGGTTCAAAGCTAGAATTACGTTTTTTTTTACGGAGGAAGTAGACAATAATAGTTCAAAGTGATAGAATAGATTTTTTTTCCATGGTTGCGCGTATGTCCAACTGGATCTATTTTATACGGAATTGAGTGACAAGAAAAAGTCCTTTTAATCAGTAAGCACGTGGTTGAAATTTAATCTTGAAATGCAAACAACCCTTGTTCTAGCAAAAGAAAATTTCAAGATGGGGAAATGATATTCTATAGCTCTAGCAGAAGAAAATCTCAGTTCCACCACGCTTGATGGCAGGCGACGTACAATATTCACGGCGCGGACTCGGCGTGTCCCGTTGCGGATTCTTGCAGGTAACTCTCACAGTTGCATGCAGGTTTCGATTTCTTCTCGGGCCTTGTTTAGATTTCAAGTTTTTTTATTCTTTCTTTGTCACATCAAATCTTTAGATACATGTATGAAGTATTAAATATAGATAAAAAAATAACTAATTATACAGTTTAATTGTAAATTACGAGGCAAATCTTTTGAGTCTAGTTAGACCATAATTAGACAATAATTATTAAATACAAACAAAAATACTATCATACCAAATACTAATTTCTAACCGCGAACTAAACAAGGCCCGAGTTCCCCACTTCCCCGGCCTGCTGCGCTGCTCCCAAAGCCGCCACGTGCATCAACCCCGGTGCCGCTAGACCTGCACGGGACGGATGTAATGGACGCGCCGCCGGGAACCGACGACTTTGGCCTTTCCACCGTAGACTCGGAGTTTCGGACTGTTCAGCAATGTGCGCGGCCCGTTCTCCACGCAAAGACAAACTTGTTCTCCTTTACAATTTCGACAGGATTGATTGAGCCCTTGTTTAGTTGGAGAAATTTGGATTTTGGATGTAGCACATTCGTTTTTATTTGGTAAATAGTGTTCAAACATGGATTAATTAGGCTCAAAACGTTCGTCTCGTAATTTCTCACCAAACTGTGCAATTAGTTTTTCTTTTCGTCTACATTTAATGCTCCATGCATAGGCCACAAATATTCGATGTGATAGATACTGTAGCAACTTTTTGTATATTGGGGGTGAACTAAACACGACGTGATACGAAAACAGAATGCATAGGTTTCCCATCCATCCATAGATGCAACCCAGATGCTGATGCCACCATGCCGGTGCAAGTGTGCAAGAGCAACTCAGATAGATGCTGGGCACCACGGCGAGATTCCTCTGGACGATGCCACCAATCCTCATTAACTAATCCAACAAATCCACGAGAAAAGGACGTCCTTTTCTGTGAAGGGTAGGAGCAAGAGCAATTCTCTCATCAGTGCCCACTGCTCAACGCCCCCAGCGGCCTGGCCTACCGCCTTCAGTTCTTGGCACGACCAAACCAACCCGGAGGAGAGGGAGAGGAGGAGCCGGCCAGCCAGCCGGGCAGATTCTCTCTTGAGTTCTCCCTCCGGTGCTCCCTCCAGCGGTCCAGCCGCAGCGCCCTGAAAGCGACCGCCAACCGCAGGAAAGGGAGGCGCTCCCACTCTTCTTCCTCGCCGAGCACTCGCTGTACGTCTCTGCACCTTCTTCCAGTTTCTCCCATTTCGGTTTGTCCACAGTCCCTCTCTTTCCTGCCGCCCCTCGACCTCCCCGCAAGGTCAAATCCTTCGCCCCTAAGCTGTTATTCTGCTTGTGCGTTTGGTTCTGGAATCGTTGCCTGCTGCTGCACATTCTCTCCGCATTGATTCTGAAGGAGGCTCCGGGCCGTGGAATTGCTCTGTTAGCTTTCTTTCAAAAAAGAAAAAGAAAAAAGAAAAAGAAAGAATTGCTCTGCTCGCTTTCGGTTTGTGTGATTGATGTGTCTCTATGTGCTTCAGCCGACTGAGATTCAGCTTGGATGCGTCTGCAGGTTCTGGTTCATGGAGAGATGGAGCCTGGGTGCCAGCGTGGTGGCTCTCCTACTCTTGCTGTCTGCTGCTTCTCATGGAAGAGGTAGTTCCGTGTGATTCTCTGATGCTTGCTGGGTTGCTGTTGTATGTAAATTGGCATCAAAGTGATTCGGACAGCAAGCTAGCTTCAATAGTAGCAAACAAGATAATTATTGTGTTTTCATCGATTGTGCTATGAGTGGAATAAGCATGTCATTGCATTTGCAAACATCTCAAATGCTGTAGTTTTGCATAGACAAAAAGGGACAGCTACCAACTATCTGATGGAATTGCCAGGTAGTGGTTGTCTGTTAGGAGGCCATGCCAGCAGCTGGGCTAATTTAACGCGCTAACTGACTGTTATAATTGGGGCATATAGTACACACATGAAACATCTAGCAAAAGATCTAGCACTGTGGAGAAGGGAGGGAAATTAGGTGATTAGGTGTGTATCAGTGGCTGCCATCTGTTAGTTCCTGCTATAGTGGAGTCCTGATTGCTGCAAAGGAAGCCATTATTGGTGGCCCTACAAAACAAAAGAAGTTAGGAAATTGCAAAAGTAGATGGTTGATGAACTTTAACTGCACATAATCGTTACAAGTTGTTTTTTTAAAGTTGACATTGCACTCAGGAATCATGTAGCTGGCCGCATTCTTGATATTCAGTCTGCCATTTTTTTTATTTCCTTTATCACAGAGCTGCCTGTCAAGAACAGTGACCACAGTTTTATCTACAATCATACTCTCGCAAAGACTCTTGTGGAATATGCATCAGCGGTAGGTTACAACTTTCCCTATTTTTTTTTGACAGACTGTTTTCTACTGAATATCCACAGTTTCCAAGTATTTCCACCTTTTGTGTCATAGTAAGCTTAATCTCATGATTCTCTGTTGTTTCTAGGTGTATATGACAGATTTAACTGCTCTGTTTACGTGGACATGCTCAAGATGCAATGACTTGACTCAAGTAAGAGACTGTCAAGTTTGGTCTCTTCCACTTACTGAAATAAACTTTAAAACATAAAGTTGTTCTTGAAAATGGCTATGGGCCAGGATAAGCTGGCTTCTAGTTTTGATATGGTTTCATATTGTTGAAATAGGGCTTCGAGATGAGATCTCTAATTGTTGATGTGGAAAACTGCTTGCAGGTTCCTATCTCTCCACATTTTGAATTAAGTTCTCATAAATTTTCCATGAAATTGTATGGCTCTTGCTATCAAACCCATCAGGCTTTTCAAGATATACCCTTCCCTTTACCTACTGTTCTTTGGATGAATAATGTAACAGGCATTTGTTGGTGTAGCTCATAATCTGAATTCGATAATCGTTGCAATCAGGGGAACTCAAGAGAACAGGTACTGCCGTACTGAGCTATTTGCTATTGCTTCCTCTGTAGTGTTCTCTGTTTAAACAGAGTTTGCTTTGCATTTACTGTTTTCAGTTCAGATGTGATTTATACTTAGATTTGATTAACCAGTGTACAGAATTGGATAAAAGACTTGATATGGAAGCAGCTTGATCTAAGTTATCCAGGCATGCCAAATGCAAAGGTTAATGCCAATGAAGTTTCTATCGTATTCTCTTTAGAAAAGAAAAAAAACTGAAAGTGTGATTCATTTGTCTGCATTTTCCTCTGGTTAAAGGTGCACAGTGGATTTTTCTCCTCATATAACAATACAATTTTAAGTCTAGCTATCACAAGTGCTGTGAACAAGGCAAGAGAAATCATATGGAGACATCAATGTCATAGTGACAGGCCATTCAATGGGAGGAGCTATGGCTTCTTTTTTTGCTGCTACGATCTTGCTGTGGTATCCCAAGGCCCAAGGGGCTTCAGAGATAATGTGCTCTTTTAGATACTTTTGAATTTGTAATCCTGGAACCAAGTTTAAACAGAACATCTCTCCATAGATGAAGCTTGGAAGTGACAGTGTGCAACTCATGACTTTCGGGCAGCCTCGTGTTGGCAATGCTGCATTCGCCTCATGCTTTGCCAAATATGTACCCAACACAATTCGAGTGACACATGGACATGATATCGTGCCACATTTGCCACCTTATTTCTCCTTTCTTCCCCGGCTGACATACCACCACTTCCCAAGAGAGGTATACTATGCCTTGCACTGTTGCACATGAACACTACAAAGCTACTCTTTTTGCATTTTTGCGTCCTGTACATGTATGAATGGCATGTTAGTGAAATTTCAGGTATGGGTCCAGGACTCTGATGGCAACATAACTGAACGGATTTGTGACGACAGCGGTGAAGACCCAGATTGTTGCAGGTTTGTCTGTTGATAGCATCATGGGAAGTGGGAGATCTTCGTTGGTTTCTCGTCGGCTTTTGTTCTAACATTCGCTTCCATGATACTAGGTGCCTCTCCATGTTCAGCTTGAGGATTCAGGATCATTTCACTTACCTAGGAGTCGATATGGAAGCGGACGATTGGAGCACCTGTAGAATCATCACAGCACAAAGCGTTAGGCAATTCCAACAGGAGCTAGCCAGCAACATCATCATGACAAAGCACGATATCGACGTCTCCATTGTTGAACCTAGTGTACAAACAGATCGGAGCAGTTCTAGTTAGCCGGAGCATTCCTTTTGTCCAAAAAGATTCAGAGAAGAAGCAGCCTCTTCTTAATGTAATGGAAATTGTTCAGCGAAGAAGGCGAGCCTTGTTTTCTCTATTATAGTCCAGCCAGATTGGGATGTTTTTTTTAGATAAAGGAAATAAATCCAGCTTCATCTCTTGTAACAAAGAGAATCAGACCATGATGTAAACATGTGACTGTAGGTGTACATAAGAAAGAAAGGAAGATCATCGGTTTATGTTGTTGGATGATAGGGATTGCTTCTGTAAATATATATACACGATGTATGTAAACTTGCAATAACATAAAATAACCACATTCTATACTTGTATCTATATATTTGCAGCAACATAGAATGCGGCTGTACAGGTAGTATTGGAGTTGTTCCAAATTCACTCCAGGATATAGGTCGGGTTTCTGACGGAGCGGAGCGGAGGCCCGTCGCTGGAGGCTGAGTCGGAGCGTAGCGGAGTCTGAAGCCGGCCCATCAGGTCTCACCCCTGTGCTCGGGGGGTGCGGGGGGCGGAGCCCCCCGCGGTACGGTACGGTATATTCACCCTTGCTAGGGTTTCGTGGAGACTTGATTCTTTTGTAAGCCGCCATAGGCGTGTAACCCAAAACTCTTGAGATAGTGAGATTGTTGCTGGCTGGTGCCCGTGGTTTTTCCCCTTCACATCGGAGGGGTTTTCCACATTAAATCGTGTGTCTCCTCTGTGGCTTGATTCTTTACTTCATATTCCTATACGTCGTTCATAACAGGTAGATATACAGACGGACCTGATCAAGAACTTCTAACCCTGTACGCTTATGCTGAAATTTGGTTTATGCTGATTCTTATGCTGAAATGTTGTGAGAGGAAAACACTGTTCTATGGATGAAAAGTAGCTAAGAAGGCGTGGCAGTGGTACGACGAGGCCAACGTGCTCTGCGATGCGCATGAGGTGACCATGGTTGATTTGATTCGATCATTGGGCAGTCCGGATAAAAATACTACCCCTGGTACTACCAATTGGGCACTTAGTGATTCATTGTATTTACCTAGATAGGTAGCTTGATTGGTTTCGAACTGCTCACAGCCTGTGCAGCCAGTTCAGATAGAAGAATTTGTCCGGGGTTTCCCCCTTCGCTTCTTCCTTATGCCATTCCAAATCGCTCCAGTTAAGTTTCAGAAAAAAAAAATCGCTCCAATTAAAACCAAAGAGAAGCGGCGTCCAACCACAAGGATCAGCGTTCTTCCCCATTCGTACAATAGTATATGATGAGTCAATGTTACAATACCAAGCAAACAAAAATCGAACAACCTTTTTTTCTGTACAGACTAAAGAGCTACACCGGACATGTCTGCAAATCACCCCATTACATCATACCGACTAAGGGGATAAAAAAAATCTATGGACAGCTCTACTTACAAACAACCCATTTACAGCAGGTCAGCACGTTGTCGCACAAATCGTGCTTCCTACATGGACAAAACAAGAAAACTCGCCCATATTCCTGAATGACGCATACTGACATTCAGAATGTAGCCGATTGTCATCAAAATGCACACTGGGTGTGGGTGACATTCAGAATGTAGCCGATTCTCATCAAAATGCACACTCTTAGAGTCTAAGGTCTGAATCTCAGCGACAGAATAGTTCTTCCTTTCATCAGCCTGCATCTTCGTCTAAAACCTGGAAGAATTGTAGAACTGTTCCATGGAGGCAACTAAAAACCAACCGTGGAGCATGAGGTTATCCAGATCTGCAAGACCAGGCTTGGCTGCTGCAGTATTACTACTCAACTCTCGACAATAGTCCGCTTCATAAAAGACTCACGCCAAGCGATGAAGATTCCTGGCAAAATTGATAGCAAACATGGAAAGAATGGTCTAATCCATCCATCGAATGTGCTATCGAAGCTGCCCGCAGAATTTGCCTGGCTCTGCATTCTAGTTCTCACGGGCACCAACCTTAACAGTGGACTTCTGAATGTTATCACCTTCACCGCAAGCTTTGCTGTTAGGAACAGCCAGAAGTTGTGGAACATCCAGGCCATCGTTCCTTCCAGAGCTACTGCTGCTGCCAGAACCTTGAGTACCATCCTTCTCGAATTTCCCTCCTCTGACAGTATCCTTCCTCAAGCCTGGGAAGTTCAACATAAGCGACTCAGCAGCATGTTGAGCATCAGGAACACTGGTGGTCCGTCGGTGTGTTTTTGCCCTTGGGGTAGATGGGCAGGTCGTGGAATCCTTTGTGGAAGGCACATTTGGATCATACGGATGTGCAGCTAGATAAGATAGTGCAGTTACAACATCTCCTATCAGCGGTCGAGATGCTGCTTGCTCCTGCAAACACATAGCTGCAACAGCTAAAGCCTGGTACAAACCCCTTTTGGGGTACCGACCTTGCAGCGATGGATCAGCAAGTTGGCAGAACTTCCTTCGGTCTCTGAAAAGTGGACGAGCCTGCAAATTTTGTCGAGATCAGACACTTGGCACATGTGAAGAAATAAAAGATCATTCCCCTCCCTAAATCAAATGGATGGAATAACTTGGTGCAGTTAAACCTACCCATGCAACAAGATTTTGCTCCCCTGAAGGCTGGGTGTGATCGATTGCTTTGCGGCCTGTAATAAGTTCAAGGAACACAACACCAAAGCTGTAAACATCAGACTTTAATGTCAACTGTCCTGTCATGGCATATTCAGGAGCGCAATATCCATATGTTCCCATAACTCGTGTTGATACATGAGTTTTGTCACCAACTGGACCAAGTTTTGCAAGCCCAAAATCAGACAGCTTAGGGTAGTAGTCTTCACCGAGCAGAATGTTTGATGATTTGAAATCTCTGTATATGACTGGTGGATTTGCCTTATCATGAAGATACTCCAGACCCTTCGCTGCACCGGCAGCAATCTTCATCCTTGTATTCCAGTCAAGAGGTTCCTTGTCTGGTGGACCTACCAAGAAAGTGATATCATGAGTTACAAAAGAAGAATATGGATGGCAGTGTCTAGATATTGCTATGGATGGCGTCAGCAGTAACACAACATTGATGGTAGAGAATACTGTAGCTAGGATCTTTCACGTTTGAATGTAGCAAGTTATAAATCAATTCTGTAAAAAAAATGTAAACTGAAGCAAAGAGAAATATTTGCATTTTGGATCCTAAGGGAAATCTTCAATTCATGATCTATTTAGCAGTTGCTATAATATGGTGCAAGTGTGCAACTTACCAAAAAGATGATTTTCTAGTGATCCCAATAACATATATTCGTAAACTAGGAGGCGCTGGTCACCATCTGCGCAATAGCCAATTAATCTGACCAGATTAGGATGGTGCAAGAGACTTAGCATGAGAACCTCCACAAGAAATTCACGATTTCCTTGAAAACCATTTCTATCAAGTTGCTTCACAGCAATGACCTGGGCAAGATTGAGGATGAAAAATGAAGGTGTCAGGCAGCCAACCGATTAGAACAGTCAGGGGACTTCTCCCTTTTCTTCTTAGTAGTGAGATTTATATCCAAATTTGCAGTGTACAGAAATTAAAACAAAATTAGCAAATGCTAGCAAACCTGTCCATTTTCCATGCGTCCTTTATACACACGACCAAAGCCACCTTCTCCCAATAGGCAATCTTTCCTGAAATTCTTGGTAGCGACAGCCAACTCCCGGAAAGTGAAAATCTGTGCCGGGCCATGTGCAATGTTTCCTCCTCTGCGAACAGGCACAGAATCTTCCTTCCTGGAGCCCGAAGCACGTGAATTTGATCGAACTGATCCATTGGAAAGATAAAAGTTAGCATATAAATCCTCACTAATGCTTATGCTTTCATCAATACAGATAAATCACACAGCTCAGACATACAGAAAAACATGGACAAAGAAATGGATCAGGATGCTACTTGCGAGATTCCTAGACCTATCACAAAATTCAATCTGTTATTGATTACTCCACTGTTGCATCCATGCATTCTGTGTGGTATTAACACACTGCACAGTGAAGTTGGTGGGGAGGCATGGTACTACTACAGGGTTGCACCCACACATTCAGTGTGGTATTAATAACACTCCTAACATATTCCAATTATCCACCTAGCTTTAAATTGTTAAATACTTCAACCAGACAAGAAATTGTTGTAAATAAAGATATGTATGTTTAGAGATAATTGGAGATGGAAACAAACTCTAGGATTCTTTCCAACAGAAATGTCGGGCAGCTCACATCAACTCAAGTTTGTCGCCTTATGCCTTGATTTGTAATATGAGTAGCCATGTGTATGATAAAAACTTGAAAGCTAATAATATAATCACTTCTAGGAATTTGACTAGCATCTTCATTACTTCTGCATTTCAATGCGACTGAGAAAAATTAACCCAAGTGGACCGTCAAGTGCTCTTGGCATTAAAAACTTCCATCAATTTTTCTGACAGTTATTTAATGCAAGAGATATCTCGGTCTGCAGATGGGTAACAAAATGCAGCAGGCACACACAACAAACAAATGAACAATAGATTGCCTTGAAATCAACGATAAGACTTGCAAGTCCAGCGACTAAGGGTGTTTTGATCGAGTGACTAAAAATTAGGAGGTGTCAAATGAAGGTGTCGCATGGAGTGTTCGGATATTAATAAAAAACAAATTACATAATCCGTCAGTACTCCATGAAAGATGAATTTTTTAAGCCTAATTAATCCGTCATTAGCACATGTTTACTGTAGCACCACATTGTCAAATCATAGACTAATTATGCTTAAAAGATTTATCTCGCAAATTAGTCACAAGTTATGCAATTAGTTTCGTAATTAGTCTATATTTAATACTCTATGCATATGTCTAAACATCCGATGGGACAGCGACTAAAATTTAGGAGGAGGAACCAAACACCCACTAATAGCCTGTTCGTTTTGGCTTATTTGCTCGTATCTGGCTTATAATCCATGGCTTGGACAGTGTTTTTCTTTCACACCAAACTAACCAGCAGTACCTTCAACCATGGCTTATAAGCCAATTCAACCGAAACGAACAGGTTGTAAGAAGGCCCCGTTCGCTTCGCTGAAAAAACAAGCCGAAACACTGTTCCGGATGATTTGTTGTGAGAGAAAAATACTATTCCGGCTAAAAAAATAAGCTGAAAAGTATAGATTATAAAAAAAAACAAACAGGACCTAAATTTAAAAAGTACGGATTATAAAAAAAACGTACAGGGCCTATACGTGTGTGGAACTAGTCACTCGCTCCACCAGCCACACAAAGAGTGAACCCGACTTGAAACCATTGCCGTTCCCTTGCACTCAAAGCAAGCCGTATTCAGTCAGACAACACGTGTACAGAACACATGGAACCATTGCCGTTTGGTTTGCTCGAGATAGAATTCCATAAACGAAATTATTGTAACTACAGGCTTCACCACGGAAATTTCCTTCCCTTGCACTCCACCTCTTGAGAAAAAGTCAAAAGTCAAATTTATAAGAAGTGGTGCTTTTTTATATCCCCTTCACCACTATCTGAGCAAACAATGGGAGTAACATAGGGCTTGTTTAGATGTAAAAAATTTTGCAAAATGAGTACTGTAACGTTTTTGTTGTTATTTGGTAAATAGTGTTCAATCATAGTCTAATTAGGCTTAAAAGATTCGTCTCGTGGATTTCGTCTAAACCGTGTAATTAGTTTTATTTTTTATTTATATTTAATGCTTCATGCATGCGTCTAAAGATTCGATGTGACGGGGAATGTGAAAAATTTTACAAATTTTTTTGCAAACTAAACTGGACCATAGTAACATTCGCATATGTAAAGCCATGAATTACTTATAACGATCAATTAACAATCGGACTAACATTCTGCTAGCAAAATTTGTCCATAAAATTTTAAAAAACAAATACACAACTCATGTAGTGAATCCTCGCTGCTAAGATCGATAAATCAAAACCGCGAGAAGCAACTATTACACTCAATTCCTTGTTTACTTCGTTGAATCAACAGCTCCAGCTGCGTATTACTAGTAAGCAAGCTACACCTCTGCTGCAAACAAAAGGGAAAAAAAATCCAGCCTTTATCTGCTCCCATTAAAAAAAAACAGCCTTTGTCGCACACAACTACATGCCTAGAGCAGCGAATCAGTCACCGCAAGTAGCAGACAGCTGTAGCTGACCGAACAGAGCAAGAGGCGGGATCACAGAACATCAGAGCTCTTGCAGTTTCCGCCAAAATCGAACAAGCGCGCAGCACAAGACACGGGTTTTACCTGGTGCCGCCTTCGCCGCAGGCCGGGGCGTCGGCGAGAGCGCCGCCAAGCTCTTGGTCTCCTTCCCCGACGAACCGGAGCACGGTAAGCAGCTCATCTCCCCGTTCCTGAACACAGACACACAGTTCCTGCGAATGCCAGCCAATCCGCCAAGAAATCCAGCTCAAGACTCGTCCTTTCCCCTCCACCGGCCGATCTCTCCCGTGAAACCAGCTGAATTTGGGGAGATTTCCGGCCGCCCCGCCGGAAAGAGAGAAAGGGGGAGGGGAAGTGAAGACTGGGGAAGCGTAATAAACAAAAGCGGGACTTTGGGCTGGTAGCGGAGGTCCAAACTATTGGTTGGCAAATTTGGGTGTTTTATAGTGCGGTTGAAATGTTCCTTGGGAAAGGATACCCTAGTTTGAGTTGAGGTGGTTGCGTTGTCAATCAAAGGGTTGGGCTCGAGAAAACAACTGTAATTAGTATAAAGATATATCTGCCTTTTTTCTTTCCTGATAACAGAACCTCACTTTTCTTTCCTGAATCCTGATATCCCCAATCTAAAGAGATTGAAAAGATGATTTTACAGGAGAAATTTGGTCATTTTATTCTAAAAAGGAGATGACATTAGTAACCATATGCATGTTGCTCTGAATAATATAAAGTTCATCGTCATAGGATTAGGTTGTGTTCTCTCCCTTTCCTTTTTTCTTTTCCAAAATGTCAACCTAAATTAAAGTAAACGAGGGTGATATGAACAAGAATATGCTCAAACACTATTTCCTCTAGACCATTTATGTGATACGGCTGCAGAGTTCGTTTTCGATCAGTTTGGGCGCTGGACAGAAATGTCGATGTCACATTGTCATTCTCAGCCCATTCAGCCCGTTCGCTCGTTGATTTCAGCTAGGGCTTATCAGCCAGTCAACAGTGTTTTCCTCTCACAATAAACCAACACCAGTCGAGATCTTATCAGCCCAGAAACCAACTAGCGAATAGGCTCTCTATCTTTTCTGTTCGTAACTATAAAGGAGATGTATGATTTAGGACACATGCAAAAGGTCAAACTAACGTGTACAGTTGTTCGATTAAGTTTGGTATAGTGTTATATATATATACATCGATGGGCTATGCGTACATGCAGATGCTACGTATGTATTCTCTGTTGTATAATAGGGGAGCACTATATTGGAAATTAAATAGTGGGAACACAGGTGTCCACTATATCCACTCTATTAAGAACTTAAGATCCTTGGGTCAATTTGGTTCTGTATACTACATTCTCTCTTCGATTATTTGAGCTTTTTCGAGTATATATAGCTTTGTTATGTATCTAGAAACACGTTATATTTACCTATAGAGATTTTTTTTGGATTTACTTCTCGGACAACTTTTCTATTTTAAACTAAGACCGTACCAAACGAAGCAGCATTTCTTATTTTTTACACTATTGAAACCGTAAACCGAGAAGCCGTTGTTTACACGGTATTTAAACGAAGTTAAACGGTCTAAACGGTTTTATATTTTTTTTAAAAAATACATATAATTATATGGGGAAATTGGCAGGCGGACACCCACAGTGGTGTTCGTTTGCTGACGGACAGCCAAAGTGAAGTTGTATGCTAGAAGACACTCTAGTTTATAGTAATTATGTCAGAGGACACCGCAAAATTCGGGACATCCGGTGCCCCTAAGCCACGTTTGGTCTGGTCCAACAAGACCACGACGAAG